CACGGGCAAACCCGGAAGGCCAAGGCATTCCCCTCCTGCTGACGAGGCCCTTGTGGGAGGTTGCTGCCTGCACACTCTGTCACTGCACTGCAGGGTACGGCCTGGACGCCAAGCTCCGACCTGCTCCTGGGTGCATGGGCAGGAGTGAAACCAAGTGCTCTCCCCAGCCCAGGCTTGTCAGGTCCACTGCGGCCATACCTGCAGGGGCATGACCTCATTGGTGACCAGGAACAACAGAAGGTGGAAATCGGAGACAGTGTCCAGGAACATGGCTGAGGTATTCTGGGACAAGTAGGTGGCCAGACTGTGGAAGTCCTAGAGGAAAGAGGACACAGGGACATCATCGCGAGTGCCCGTCACCCACCCAGGACAGGGTTGTGTCCTACCCAGCCACGCAGTGCAGGGCAGCACTGAGTGACACCTCGCCCTGCAGACGTGGTCTGAGAAGAGCAGGTGACACCAGCAGGTGGTGTGGTGGTTAAGGTGCTGGACACTCCCACATGACCGACCATGGTTCAAGTCCTGGACCTGGTGACTTGCTTTCTCACTGTCTCTCTCTCCCTCTGTCTCTGTGTGTCTCTCTCTGGTCAAATTAAAATAAATGAATGAATACATTTCAAAAAAAAAAAAAAAGAACAGGTGATAAGACACTCCCACCCCCTTGCCCAGGAGGATGCCACATTGCCAGGCTGATCCCAACAGGAAACTTGGTCCCCAAGATGGAAAACTGTGGAGAGGGACTAATCTGAGTAAACATGTGACCTTTAGAGGGTGCAGAAGCAGGCTTCTGTGAGCTTCATCTGCATGGCTATGAAAACATTTCAAATGGAACACTATCTGCCTCTTGTTAATACCATACTGCAGAGCAATACCAGGCTAAAGGAAGCCACAGGTGTTTATTGGATTTCGCCCCAAAAAGATCAGAAAAATTGCCAGTAGTTTTCATTCTTCACACAATTTACATCCTAAAACAACTGGCTTTGCATTCCATTTCCTCTTCCCCCATTTTCTGCCCTTTGAAAGAATAAATCTGAAGGCAGTTCCTGGTTGCAACTTTCTCCATCAGAGAAGTCGGGCCCGATCCTCACTTTTCCATACTTATGTGTCTTTGTGTTTGTTGTTGCGTTTATTTCTAATCCACAGCCTCCCTACTCAGAATTTGCACTCTGCCAAGCGGGTCCCAACAAAAACACCCGTGCCTCCGGGTGCTGTGGGCTGAGGCAGCCCCGTGGGTAGGAAGCACTAGGCCTTTCTGTCCAGCTGGGCCAACCCAGGGCAATGCAACGAGCGGGGGAGGAGGGCCTCTTGCCACCAACCTCATCAGCAGGACCCTACCCCTACCTCTGGGAGGCCCAGGACAGCTCTGCGTGGCAGACACACAGGTCACAGAAAGGGCTGTTAATAAGCCCTGGTTCAGGAGAAAACCTCGCTGCAACAGGCTTTTACCCATGTCTCCTAAGAGGTCCCAGGACCATGTTCTCAGAAACAGATTGCCTGAGTCTGCACAAGGATTTGGGTGTGGCCTGGCCAGCCAGTGAAGCAGCCACACTGCGTTAGCAGGTTGATACCCACGCAGAATGCCCAAGGAACAAGGCCAGGCGGAGATGTCCCCACCATCTTGGCTCTACCAACAGATACGCTTACTAACGGACAGCACAGAAGTCCCTGGTAGAGGGTGGTGACCAACAAAACTCAGAAAGTGAGCAAGCCAACTGTGGTTGGCCCTCGGGACACGCCAGCCTGGCCTACATGGCCATCTGCCTGGTTCCCGAGAGGTTCCCTGGGACCAAGGCATCCTACCACACACCCAGATGGCCTGCCACAGGACTGAGCAGGAGAGTCGGAAAGCCTGACACTTCCTGGTCACAATCTGCAGCCCTCAGGTCAGGCTGTGGATGCAAAGACTTACCTGCGTCTCACCCAGGACATCCCGGTTCTCAATAGGAAATGGGTTTGGCGAGATCGAGAAAGTGTACACGGGATCCTTGGGAAAAGTCGTTGTGATCTAATGAACCAAACACACACCAAGGTTAGCGAAGCTAAGCCGGGCAAGGTTCTCAATTGCCCAGCACCAGAGAGCGGCCCTAGCCCAAGTCAGTTCCGGGGCAACCCCAAGTCCTGCAAGCTCTGCGGTGAAGGAGCAGTGAGCTGCCAGGCTCGTCCAAACAGAGCTGCCTGAACCCTCGACGTGAGAGAAGCAAACAGAATGATCTGGCTTAAACCAGACCACATGTGGGCAGTTTCTGGGTGCCTGTGGCCTCTGGGACACCTGACTTGAGTAGCATTGGGACCTCTGAGTGCAGCTGCTCGCCCTCTGCCATGGGCAAGCTAAAGATTTGTGTGACCCCAGCCACAGGTGGGGACAGAGAAGGGCAGGAGGCCTTCTCAGGGGCTATTTGAGAAGTGCCAAGCTCATGCGTCTGGGTCTGGCGGGCACGTGCAGTCAGTCAGGGAGGGCTCTGAGAAATAGGCACCTTGGCTGCCTGGCTGAACCCTGTCTGAAGGCAGCTTCAGGCAGGGGGAGATTCACAGGCCCCCAAAGAATACAGGGGCAGAGTTCTCCTGCCCTGGGCAGACAAGCTAGCTAGAGTTAAGTACTTCTGCCCAAAGGGGAGCGAGGACGCACTGTGGTAACGACACACAGTGTCCTAAGGGGAACGAGGACACGTGCATACACTCTATCATGAAGAAAGAGTTATTTTAATTTTGTAATTGGCCCTTGGAGAGTGATGAACCCATGTCCACACAGCTCCGTGTGGCCATCTAGGCATCCCAGGGGCGCTGCACACCCAGGTTGCCTTGCACCTGTGCCCCACCCTCCCCAGCCTGTTTCAGACGCCCCGGAACCTGGCAGAAACCTTCCTCTCTCGAAGAGCCATGCTATACTCAGGCAGAGGAGACAGCCTTGGTTCAGGTTGCATGAGGCCTGGGGTTAGACCAGGTTACCCCAGGCCTCGCGTGCAGGGACAGGGACAGAGCCAAGGCCACACAGCATGGAGGACCTCTTGCAACCAGCACTGCCCAAACAGGCACGAAGCAAGAGCGTAACTTCCTTTATAAAGGGAGGAAAGGGACGGGAGGCCGCAGGACAGGGGTAGCCTCCGAGAGCTGATGTTAAGCCACAGGAGCCCTCCCAAGTGTATGTCCTGTCAGTCTGTTTTCATTCTCATTGCACCCTGGGTGCTCTAAGACACAGCCGCCCTCACAGCTGAGGCAGTAAATACGTTCTTAGGAGCCGCTGATGCAATGAGCAGCGTTGGCCTGGTCTTACCCGAGTCCCATGTCTGCTCTGATCCACGGACGGCAGCAGTGCAGGGGAGGAGCCACCGCGACTGTGGGCGGCGCTTCAGCAGGTGATGCTGCATGGGCTCACCCTGCTGTGCCTGTCTGGCGGCTCATAGTCTGGCCCTGGGGGAGCTGAGAGCTCAGGAAGGTGCAGAGTCAGGGTCCCCGCGACAGTGGGAATGCACAGTGATTCCTCACCCGAGGATAGTCACAGGCAGGGCCTGGGGCCCGTTGAGAGGGGCCACAGATGAGTGCAGGGCAGCACCTGTGCGTGCGGGGTGGGCAGCTCAATCACACCCAGTTGGGAGTCCAGAGTGCTGGATGCTTGTGTGGCTTGGGACCGAGTGCTGGGCTCATGGCCTTCAGGAGGTGGCTGGGTGGGGGGCTCTTTGTACTTCAGTATGAAAAAGGGTTAACCCCTAGGTAGTTTTCTTTTCTTTTTAATGGTTTCTTTTTTAACTAAACTTTTTTTATTCATTTATTTTAATTTGACTAGAGAGTGATGGGGGGGTGGAGTGAGAAAGCAAGCTGCCAGGTCCGGGACTCAGACCACTGTCAGCCATGTGGGAATCCAGTGCCACTATCTGCCATCCCCAACCCTAATAGTTTCCAAAGATACAAAAAAAAAAAAAAAAAAAAAAAAAACTGACCCTAAAAGGAAAATCCCTTACAACTGCAAGCTTTGGGGCCAGCAGGCGACGTAGTGTTTAGGACATTGGATTCTCATAGGGTCAATGGCAGTTCAAGTCCTGGACCCGGTGGCTTGAAATTCACACTTGGCAGACATAAGTGCATGCCCAAAATCCAGAGAGAATGAAGAAGAGATTGTGGCATGGTCATCCCTCTTGGGGGTCAATTTCTCCTTTCTCTCTGGGTTTCTGGTGAGTGTATGCACCCTATAGCAACAATCTTTTTTAAAAAAAAAAAACAAAAAAACAAAAAAAAACAAGCTTTTCAGAAATGCCAGGCCCCTGCAGATTCTACCCATGCCTTCTGGACATCTGTGCCATGCCAGGCCCCGTCCTGCAGAGGGTGGCAACCCCTCCAGCCACTGCTGCCATCACCTCGCTCCAGCAGCCACCTCTCAGCAGGCCTGGCCTTCAAGGCCCAGCCACCAGCCTGCCTCGGGTGCAGGGAGGGGAGCACTTACGTCTATGATCAGGTACTCCACAGGCAGGGGTCGCGCCAGCTGGGTGATCTCGTTGCCAAACTTGTCTGTGTCCTGAAACAGTCACAGGTGTGCAGCCGTGACAAAGGTGACCAGGGCAGGCTTTCCTTCCCAGGCTCGCCGCATCTCACACAGTCATGGGTCTTGCTGAGTGTGAGGAGCAGAGGTCCCACCTTAGCTCCCTGAGAGCTGCTCCCCCACACAGTGCTCCGCCTGGCCCGCACTGCCCACGGAGAGACAGAGGCAGGAGGCTGTGCTGCAGCCCCAGGCAGAGCTGAACCTGAGCCCCAGCCTGAACGCCGATGCTTCCGGCCCATCCCTCTGGAAACCTGACTCCGGAGTGGAGCTCGGAACTCACAGGCACTGAACGAGGACATGTGCCATGGAGCGCACGCACACAGACCGAGATCGCCATCTGTCGGGGCCCAGCCTTGTTTTGCTTCGTCAGATGCATGGAACATAAAGTTTAATTATGGGGAAAAACAGCCGGCATATGTTCATTAATCATAAAATGACAATTAGAACTGATTTATGTCAAACATACTGAGTTCAAACAGAGATCTGGAAACAAAGTCATAAGAACTGACGCTTTTCATGAAAGATTCTGAGAGAGGGGCCATATTTTCTACCTAAATAATCACTTAACGTTACATAAATCATTCACAAGTCGTACATAATTGCACATCCGTAATCTCCAACTACAGGGCCTATGTAAAAGTTTCTACCTGCAGAGGCTCCAGACTGGACCTGGAAGTCGACACACCTTCCACGGGGCACGCGAGCGACGGGGGCCACCCTACACTTTCCAGGAGCCAGGGCGCGTGCTGCGTTTGGAGACATTCACCACAAGCCGTTCCTCACTCGGCCAGGTCCATTACCCAGCGCAAGCCCCGGGGCCCGCCCAGCCTGCTCCTGTGTAAGCGTGTGCCGTCTGTTCTGAGCGGGCCTGTCCCATCCCCTCCCGCCTTGTCTCATCTCAGAACAGAGGTAGCAGCCCACAATTTCGCCGGGGCTTCAGGTCACCAGCTCCCAGGCCAACGGCTTGACTCACCACTGGAGAGTCAAAGGAGACCAAGACCACCCCCGACAGGCACGGCTCCTGCTATCACTGCCCCCATCCTGGGAAGATGGGGCTGCTTCCACCTGATGTAGGTAAGAGGTGCTGGTCTTCCCATGACACGGGGCTGTGGCAGCCAAGAGGACTCTGCCGCCAACGTGCAGGGTGCCAGGGATGGGGAATGCTGAGCGCGGCCATGGGCTCTGAAGAGTTTCTCACCAGAGAAGGTGGGAATCCAATGCCATCAAACCGAATTGCCATTTCCAAAAATACGTTTGCCCCTACAAGAAATAACCTGCAACAGCTCACCGTAATTAGCCCATCTGGAGCTTACCCTCAGGTCTCATTAAGCACTGCTCTGCAGGAGCAGCTCTCCTGCACCTGTTCCCTGTGACCGTCCCGCAGGGCCCTGCTGTTACACGCCCCCTTTCTGTGTGCGCTGAGCTGTTCTCTCGCAGACTCAACTACCCACCGTACCTCTGCTGCCTAGAACATAAAGACGCTGGCCTGCCCTGCTCCCTCCCTGTCCCCATGCCTTCACGCAGTGCTCTGCCAGCCCCGCTCGCCATTTCTAAAGACACTCACTCTGCGGGCTTCAGCAGACAGCAGACAAACCTGCTGCGAGTAGCATCTTAATCTAAGCTGGCAGCTGCCAGGCTGTCAGCAGCTCCACCTCCACCTGGAGTAAGGCCCCGGAGAGCCGGGAATCGCAGCCCCTGTGCCTCACTGCCTGCCATTAGCAGTCCTGATACCAGAGATATCCAAGCACCAATGTCTTTGTAGCACGAAGGAGCGTGAGCTTTCTGCCAGGCCCAGCTGGACAGGGCTGACTGCTTTAGGAGAGGGGACCTAGGTGCTGTCCATGCCCCACCTCTCCAAAGAGCCAGCAAGCAGGGCCAGCAGACGGAGCAGCAGTTATGTCACTGGACTCCCACAGGACTGACTGCAGTTCGGGTCCCGTACTCAGTGGTTTCAAACTCACGCCAGATGCGTGTGTGTGCCCAAGATCCCGGGAGGGGAATGGAGAAGATGGAATTGTGGTGTGGCCACCCCCCTTGGAGGGGGATTCCTCATTTTCTGTCTCTGACTCTCCCTCCCTCTTTGGCAAGAGCACACACCTATGACAAAAACCTCTAAAGGAGAAGCAGCAGCACAAGCAGGGGGACGGCGATACCCAGCTCTGCTGCACCTGAGGGGTACCCAGCTCTGCTGCACCTGAGGGGTACCTAGCTCTGCTGCACCTGAGGGGCCCCCGGACAGCGAGCAAGCACCTGAGGGTGTGGCTTTTCCTTTCTTTCTTAAAAAAATTATTTTATTTAGCTTTATTTGTTTGTTTAATTTGATGAGAGGGACAGAGTGAGAGCACACACAAGAGAGAGGAAAGTGAGAAAGCAAGCCACCAGGTCTGGGACTTGAACCATGGTCAGCCATGTGGGAGCCCAACGCCTCTAGCCTTCACGCCACCTGCCAGCCCCCACTTTCTTTTTTTCTTTTTAAAGAATTATGTTTAATTTATTCATCTATTTGTTTGTTTATTTTAATTTGAACAGAGAGGGACAGAGAGAGAAACAAGAGAACTGAGAAAGCAAGCCACTAGGTCCAGGACTCGAACCATGCTCAACCTTGTGGGAGTTCAGTGCCCTTAACCACCACGCCAACTGCCAGTCCCATGGCTTTTCTTTCCTTTTTTTTTTTTTTTTGGAGAAGTTTTTACTATAGGGCATGCGCGCTCGCCAGACAGACAGACAGAGACAGAGAGACAGAAAGCAAGAAATCACCCCCTGGGGGGATGGCCACGTCGCAATCCCTTCTCCTCCGTTCTCCTCTTGGGATCTTGGGCACGCACGCACACACAACCAGCGTGAGTTTAAGCCACTGGATCCGGGACTCGAACCATGGTCGACTACGTGGGAGTCCAGCGACGTAGCCATTTCACTAACTCCTGGTCCCCCCCATGGCTTTTCTTTTTAAGAGAGATTTTGGCTATAGGGTACATGTGCTTGCCAGAGAGATAGAAAGTGAGAGATCACCACCCGGGGTGAATGGCCATGCAACAATCCCTTCTCCATTCTCTCAGGATTTGGGGCACACACGAACAGACACACACACACACCTGGCATTGAGTTGTGCTTTTTTCTGTAAGAGATTTTTGCTATCGAGTGCATGTGCTCACTGGAGAGACAGAGACAAAAAGCGAGAAACCACCCCCCATGGGGGGATGGCCAAAACACAATCCCTTCTCTTCCATTCTCCTCCCAGGATTCTGGGCACGCATGCACACATGCCCAGCCTGAGTTTAAGCCTCTGAGTCCGGGACTGACACCACGGCCGACTGCCTGGGAGTCCAGCGACAGCCATTACACCAACTGCTGGTCCCATGGGCATGGCTTCTTTTTTTTCCTCTGGGGGAAAAATTGTATTTAAAATGATTAATTGTAAGGCATGTAATTGACTTATACTTACTAACAGATATTCATATGAATAAACTTTTAGTTTAGGAGGAGAAATTATTTTAAATTGAATGAAAATAAAGTACAATATCAGAAATTATAAGATGGTGTTTTTTTTTTTTCTCCCAGATATTTTCTAATTCCAGAGGGGTCAGAAAGGGAGAAAAGTTTATTTTTCTATTCAAAGAAACAAACAATAAGAAAAAACATTTTGGGACCAGTGTAATGGCTATGTCACTGGACTCCCATGTCTCTGCTTTTTGTCTCTCTGTCTCTGTCTGGCGAGCGCACACACCCTATAGCAAAAAACTCTCAAAAAAAAAGAAAAAAGAAAAAACATTTTAACAAATTGCTGAACCTATCAACAGCTCAAAAGATAGCAAAATCCTTAATTTGAGAAAACAAAGAAAAAAATCAGTAGTTCTACTTGAAAGCCATAAATCCCTGCTTCCCAGCTCAGCCTCCCGTTGGATGTGCAGGGTCGCTGTGCTCTGACCTTCCCGTTTAACCCCTGGGAGGTGGCTCAGCACCGTTACGGGTACCCTGTCCCCAGCTTCCCGCTGGTCCCTTTCCTGGTGACGTTCTGCTTTATTTCTGTGTGTGCATCTCTAGTTCTCCTGGTAAAGCACTCCTTTCAGGACTTCTGGAAGGGCTGGTCTGGTGTTGGTAAATTCTCTCAGGTGTATCTGAGAACGTTTATCTTTTCTTCCCACATAAAGGGTAATCTTGCCGGGGGACCTCCGTTCCCACACCAGGAGTCGAACCTGGGCCACCGAGATGGAAACCAGGAATCCTAACCACGAGACAATGTGGGGAACCACCGCGGAGGCAGCTGGCGGGTCAACAAGCATCCCCTGGGCACTTGTCACAGTAATCAATGCCGGCAGCTGGCCTGGTCCCACAGCCTGCCCCCCGGCACCCACCGCAAACAGTGCTGTCCCTGAAAGACAGCGAGGCCGCCATACCAGGACTCACCGTCTCGAGACCCAGCAACTGGCAGAGCCACAAGCTGGGGCAGAGCCCAGGAACAGCTGAAGCTCTGGGTCTCAGTCTCTCACTCTGCAGGTCACGGCACATTGGAGCCGACACCTGCCCTCGTGGGACCTTGACACCATGGGCTCTGGCCCAACAGCGGATGCGCACAGAGCCAGACTTTCCACCTCCCCACCAGGGGAGACCAAAAGACACATGTGGCACTCTCAGACTCTCATGAACAAGGCTGGTCGGTGGGTAACCGCCCTGGATGATGCGATGAGCAAACGCATCTCCTGTGATCGGAAACGTCTGTTTGGGACCAGCAGAGGACACAGCAGTTACGCTGCTGGCATCCCACGTGACCAGCTAGGTTAGTCCGGGACCTGGTGGCCTGAGAGTGACAGCAGGCACGTGTACGTGTCTGCCCGAGACCCCAGGAGGAGAATGGAGAAGGGGTTGTGGAGTCGCTGTCCCCTCCGGGGGATGATTTCTCACTTTCGCTCTCACTGTCTCTGTCTCTCTTTCCCCGGGGAGTGCATGAGCCCTAAGGCAAAAACCTTTAAACAAAAAAA